CAGCAGGACTGCTCGCCTAAGCAAGAGGAGGCTGCTCTCCTTCAGCCTCAGAAAGAAGGTATGCTCAGAGGTGACTATTTGTTTTGATTTTTTAACAAAAAAGAACGGAAGTACACTGAGCTACCACTAAGAGACTGGGTTTCTGTAAGTCCCCTCCTGATTGCCAAGTTCTTTTCTGAAGTTACCTGTGGAGAAAACGTGACAAGTCACTTACTTCAAGAAGCAGCAAAATCATGTTTGGGACACAATTTACAAATTAACTCTATTTAAAACTTTAATTTGTGATATTAATGACTGCAAAACACTTAGAATGACATTTGTTAAAGGCACATTTCATTTTAATGCATAGTGTACCATTCTAAAATATCCTAATTTCCTTACAAAGTGCTTGAGCAGCCACATACAGATAAAGTATAGCAAAATATATTTACAATCTAGGGTTTAAAATCTTAATCTGCCTAAAAATATTTAAAAAACTACAGAGATAAAATTAGTGCTTTCTTTCAGCTTAACTGGGTGAACATACCCTGCCCTCTAATTTTTTTAAATTTTTTTTTTAAGTGATTTACTTAGATTAAAAAAAAAAGATTTCTGTACAAGATGTAGTTACAAAAAGGTATTTTTGAGGATACTTTCATAAGTGTTAAGCACCCTGCTAGATGCTCATATATATATTTGGGAACCAAGAAAGGGCAAGCTGACTGTACCTCAAAAGTATTGGTTTCAGCTAGATACAGGATGATAATTTGTTCCTGATTAATTAGAATCTGGAAACAAGTAATGCTGAAAAGTTGACTCACTCTGCCAAACGTGATTTGTAGAACTGGTAAAGATGCCTGCCTTGTTCCTGTGGGGGGAATTGCCTCAGTTAGACCTATTAACCATTTTTTTTTCCCCCCCTTCTTCTCTGAGCCTCTCTGCTGCCTGACCTTGCAGGTCTGTCCAGCATCATGATTTTAAAGAACCACCTTAGCGTTGCACGCTCAAGCAGTTCGCGTTTCTTCCTTGAATGAATAAAATTGCAAGTTTTGAATTCCTTTGAGTGCCGATTCTCAGTGTCTCGGCCCGTGAATAGCCAACTCCTGGCCAGGATGAACCCGTGAGGCTGCGTATGCAATCAGCTCCCAGGGGTGCTAGAGCTAAGGACCACGTGGAAAATTTATTTTCCAAGAATTACCATTTGCCCACAGAACACCAGATGCCAAAAATAGGTCTTGGGTTATAAGTATGCACAGTGTCTGGTCTAAATTAGTTTTTGACTTTTGAGGTACAGGTTTTAGTGTTAAGGGGTTTATAAAATACACACTTTTTATCAAAAATATTTATACATTCTGTTACAATGTATTGCTTTTACCCTCAGTAACTGCCAATCTAAGTCGTGGAGTTCAGTGGCCTACATGTGCACAAATACTTTTTTCACTCAGAGTTCTACATTGTTCACTCAGCCACTGTGCAAAATTAATGAAGTGGTAAAACTAAATTACTTGCCTGGACATAAGAATACATTACAACTTCCAAATATACATGGTGACAGCATGTATACATTGAAAATCCTTATGTTTGCTGAAAGTGATATGCTATTGTACAGCAGATAGAGGATGATCCAGGTGGTTAGAGATGGACTGGTTAACCCCTCTGTCCCCTTGCTGGGTGGGAAGGGTGTGAGGCTGAGTACGGACGTGGGAGGGCTTGGGCAATGCAACACGCTTTGCTCCTCGGGGTTAGACTGAGCAACATCCTTGTTACGTTCTTCATATCAGCCAGGGCTTTAAGCCATGCTTAAAAAGCTTGAAGGCAAAACTGTTTGGCAAGTGGCTTTGGTAAACTTTCCGGATTTTTCTTTGTAATGGAAGCACTTACACTGTTGTTATCTCAAAGGCAAGGCGTTTAACATTTTTCCTAATAAATACCATAGAAAATTTACAAAACAAGGCATATCTGTTCTCAATACCACTGCTGCCTGACCTTGCAGGTCGGTCCAGCATCATGATTTTAAAGAACCACCTTAGCGTTGCACGCTCAAGCGGTTCGCGTTTCTTCCTTGAATGAATAAAATTGCAAGTTTTGAATTCCTTTGAGTGCCGATTCTCAGTGTCTCGGCCCGTGAATAGCCAACTCCTGGCCAGGATGAACCCGTGAGGCTGCGTATGCAATCAGCTCCCAGGGGTGCTAGAGCTAAGGACCACGTGGAAAATTTATTTTCCAAGAATTACCATTTGCCCACAGAACACCAGATGCCAGAAATAGGTCTTGGGTTGTAAGTATGCACAGTGTCTGGTCTAAATTAGTTTTTGACTTTTGAGGTACAGGTTTTAGTGTTAAGGGGTTTATAAAATACACACTTTTTATCAAAAATATTTATACATTCTGTTACAATGTATTGCTTTTACCCTCAGTAACTGCCAATCTAAGTCGTGGAGTTCAGTGGCCTACATGTGCACAAATACTTTTTTCACTCAGAGTTCTACATTGTTCACTCAGCCACTGTGCAAAATTAATGAAGTGGTAAAACTAAATTACTTGCCTGGACATAAGAATACATTACAACTTCCAAATATACATGGTGACAGCATGTATACATTGAAAATCCTTATGTTTGCTGAAAGTGATATGCTATTGTACAGCAGATAGAGGATGATCCAGGTGGTTAGAGATGGACTGGTTAACCCCTCTGTCCCCTTGCTGGGTGGGAAGGGTGTGAGGCTGAGTACGGACGTGGGAGGGCTTGGGCAATGCAACACGCTTTGCTCCTCGGGGTTAGACTGAGCAACATCCTTGTTACGTTCTTCATATCAGCCAGGGCTTTAAGCCATGCTTAAAAAGCTTGAAGGCAAAACTGTTTGGCAAGTGGCTTTGGTAAACTTTCCGGATTTTTCTTTGTAATGGAAGCACTTACACTGTTGTTATCTCAAAGGCAAGGCGTTTAACATTTTTCCTAATAAATACCATAGAAAATTTACAAAACAAGGCATATCTGTTCTCAATACCATAATTTTAAGAACACAAGATGAAGGTGTACATAGAAGTGTGTAGTTTTATAGACTGCGCAAGATAATATCTAACTGAAATCATTTGCCTTCTCCAGCTAGAACCGTGTTCCGTGTGAGTGTCATCAGCATCCCAAACTTCTATTTCAACGTGGCTGAGGCGAGAGAAGTCATTACCTAGCTCACAGTCTGCTTGTCCCACTTCAGGCAGATGCTTTAAAAAGTGACGTTATCTGCTGTAGGAGAGTGAGAGAGCCAGTACAGATCCACGTGTGCCTGTGTGTGGGAAGCTTAATACAGCCTGGGTTCACCAACTCAGCTTAAGAACTCCATAGACCTGCTTTCCAGTGCTCAGATAAAAAACAATATACAAAGAGGCCACTCTTCACAAGAGTGTTAAAACAGTACTTAAAAGGATCTTCATGTGATTTTAAAAAAAAAAAACAAACAAACAAAACAAACCCAAAACAAACCCAGAAGCTACAGGTGGCACAGAGAGCAATCAGAGGGTCGGTAATTCTTCCAAGAGAGGCATTCTTGTGAGCCAGTCAGCTGGGGTTTCACAGTGTCTAGAAGTTAACACCAATCAGCAATGTAATCAAAATCTCTGAACATTTCCTGCTCTTCTTCTGAAAGTATCCTTGGTTCCCGAGGCGGAGTGAGGATAGGTGCTTCAGAGGTAAATTCGTCATCAAAATTACTAACGTCTTCTCGTCCTCTAATGGTGGGTACAAAAGGAGGCTTCACTTTCTTGGCCAGTAAAGCGTTCCAATCTATTAGCTGCAAAATAAACCCAACTGATGTTTAGTTTCCTGCCTCTACTCCTCAGTGTCCTTAGAAATAATACTGGTTTATACTCACCCTGAAGAAGTGATGCTTTTTCACATCCTCTGCATCTTTCTCTCCGGCTCCAAGACGCCGCTCTGGATTTCTTCGTAGCAGCTGACAAAACATGTGAGATTTCAGTGCAAAAATTCAGGGCTGGGGGGGAACTTGGGGAGGACAAGCCCTGCTGTGTAAGAGCCAACACCAAGATTGGATGGACAGTGTAATTAATACCGCCTGACCTCTAGAAAAGTTTTAGTCCTCCAAGAAAGGGAAAGACGGAAGTTCAGCTATAGGTAGCTGGAGACAGCAATGCCCTTTTTAGAGATGCCTGAACCCATGAGTACCATTCCACCTGCAGCCTGGCTACGAACAGCTCGGGAGCCGACTAATCCATCTCCCTGCAGATCTGCGGTGCCAAGTCTTGGTACCTGAGGTGATCCACAGGGCACAGAGATGCTGAGAAGCATGCTTTTTGCTGGAGAGGATACAGCCTTCACACGAGCTCGTATTTCTCGCCTGGCTCAGAAGAGACACAGCTCTGCTCTCTCCCTTGCCCGGCTATTTCACAGCAGTTGATTTACCAAGCGAGGGTTGAACGCCGCTTTACACGCCCAGCCAAGTAAAAGGGTTTTCTAGTTCACACCAGAAGTTAAGATGCTCCCCACTTGTGAATCGTGCTGCTGTGAGCAGACCACGGTTCCAGGCAGAGTGCCCAGCATCAGGGTGGGCTGATGATACATTCGTGATGCAGCCATCGAAAAATAACGTCCTCTACATTAGGTAAGAGTTTCTCAGATAGGAACAGCGTGCACACAGCTACCACTTAGTAAACTGCGAGTGCAGAGTTCGCGGTACGCCTATTCTGGGTGCGGTGTCGCAGGCCCCTGTGGGTAGTGGCGTGGTGATTTTTCCCCACAGTAAAAAGAGCCTCCCCAGGTACTGCCTTAAAAGTGCATTCTTCCTTCTTTCTCTAGAGAAACGCTCTCTCCGGAGGAGTAAGCGATTGTTTTAAGCTACAAAATTATTTCTGTCTCTGCTCCCAAGTAACAAGTGATAGGACGAGAGGAAGCAGCCTCAAGTTGCACCAGGGCAGGTTTAGGTTGGGCATTAGGAAAATTTTTTTCCCTGAAAGGGTTGTGAAGCACTGGAAGGGGCTGCCTGGGGAAGTGATGGAGTCCCCACCCCTGGAGGTGTTTAAAAGCTGTGTAGCTGTGGTGCTTAGGGACAGGGTTTAGTGGTGGGATGGCAGGGTTAGGGTAATGGTTGGACTTGATGCTCTTAAAGGTCTTTTCCAACCTAAACGATTCTATGATTCTGTATTTATGCTATTACTTAAATGCTTGTGTGACAGTAGTTACTCTGACATGCTTTAACTTAGGTGCTGCAGCACGTTGCTGGATTGGGTGCTAGGCTGACACTCGGTGTCAGACATTGAAGCGGAGAGGCTGCTTCCAATGGCTTTGAATCGCCCTTCCATCAACTGTGATACGCTTCTAACATAGACAGGTTCAAGCATCTTCAGAGAAGTAGAGGCTTTACTCTAAGGAATAGCACTAATAACAAATCATAAACCAAATCAGCCGTTCTTTGCCAAGAACAGGACTGCAGATGCCATGTGTACGGCGTTCCCTGCCCCAGTTGGAATGAAACCAAAAAGATTTAGAAGTCTTTGAATTAAAATGTTCATGTGACAATGTTAATCTACCAAATAGGTGAATGCAGCAGTGTTCTGCTAGGAAAAGAGAGCTGAACTCCTCTGGTTAGATGCAACTGGGAAACTTAGTTCAGGGAGAAAATAGAGCCTCTCATTTTAAACAGAAAAACTTGCTCCTAAATAAAAGGAGCCTCCTCATAAAGCGGAATGGCACTGACAATTTTCATTTAAGGTGACAGGCAGCAGGGCACAGCTTAAGTGAAGTGACTCTGAAATTTAATTGTAGAAAAAAAAAAATACCAAGCGTAGGTTCTTAAAAGTATTTTGTTCCTCACAAAAGTAATTACTTCCCTTAATGTTGGAGAGGAAACAGGGTAAGAGGGGAATACTGTAATAGTAGTAGTATTATTGTGTTCTTACCCGTCTCATTATAGAGATGGCTTCTGTCGACAGAAATCGTGGATATCTTACTTCATCATTTACAATACTGTCAAACACCTCTTCTTCATCATCTCCAGGGAAGGGAGACTATAATGAAAGTAATAATAAAATACTATTAAACAGGCTTAAAAAGCACTTCGAGTTGAAAATAACATATATTCAGCTGATAATTTGGAATTAGACACCCTGAAACGAAGTTTTCCTTTTCCCAAAAACCAGTTTTCCAGAAGGACAAGAGAAAAAGTAAGGCAAGTTGGTGTTATCCCTCAATTCTTACTGAGGGACTATGCTTTACAGATGTGCTTTTACAAGTAGAAACACCTAAAACTGGGATCTGCTTTGAACTCCGACACAAGATATACAGGGAATGTGGAAATGTGTTGGCTCTCCTTTGGGACGCTGCCATTCACAAGTAATGTGGCCAGGACTGACTTGTTTTTGTAGTTTTGTAGTGGGTTTCTTAGCATGTTACAGCTCAAGGGTTTTCCAGCTGTTTTGAAGTGGCCTGACAGATGTAGGCAGCACCCTATAAGCTTTTCCTCCTTTTTTACCTGAAAGGAAGTGAAAGTTGAATGATCATCTTTTTTGAAAAAGAACAAAAGATGAGCGTATCTATAGTTTTTCTCCCCTTTTCAGCACATAAGCCATCACTGTGCTACCTGGGAGATACCATAACAAAATGGCCAGAAGTTTTAAAGCAATATATGCAATGGTAAATAATTATTCAATAGTAATTTATTTATACCAGCTCATTTGCATGGAACTGGGGCATTCTATTTTAGTGCCTGCATAATTAAAATGGTAAACAACGCTGCATTTGGTGTAATCTTTTGCTACTACCCAGTTTTATGCATTAATGTTCACTTCAATTCAAGCTAGGAGAGTTGAAGAGTTTATTTTCTCCCCAAAAGCATTTGAAAGCAGACGACTTGCTATAGCTGCGCACATCCAAATTCGATGGTAACAGATGTGTGCTGGAAACCGAGCTCCCCAAACCCAGATGTGCTCTGTTCTTGCTTAGAGACACTGATACCTATGTGCCCTTACTGTAATTTGATTTAAGGCATAGCAATATAATTAAAAACAAAATAAAACAAAAATTAAGGGGCTAAATCTTGGACCAGCTACAACTCATTCACTTCCACAACAGCCAATAATTCAAGCTCATGACGTGACTCGTCAACTTCTATAGCACTATGGCAGCTAGTAGCAGGTAAGTAGCTGCTCAGTATTTACTTTTGCTTGAGGAAACACATTAAGGCGCTCACCTATACATACCATATATACAAGTATTGATACGACCGTGACAGGTAGGGCATATTAAACGTTGACAGGCTGGAGTTTTGTAAGCTTTTTAACATATATTCATTTCATGACTCTCTTGTATCTTACTAGAACTTACCTCACCCACTAGCATCTCATAGATAAGTACGCCAAGTCCCCACCAGTCTACAGCTCTCGTGTAGGAAGTTTCCGTCAGCACCTCTGGAGCAAGAAATTCCGGTGTGCCGCAGAATGTGCTTGTTCGGTCTCCAAATCCCATTCCTGAAAAGTTACAGTTAATGAAAAGCAAGCAGTATTTTCTGCCACACTACAACCTATTCCTCCAGCAAGTAAAATCTCCCTTGAGGAACTTCAGCCAACACTGCAGTTCCAGGGCCTGTCCTGAAGGCTCAGGCCAGTGAGGCAAAACATTCCCCTGTTCTTCCCTCCCGTGTCCTTGGTCCACGTGTGCTTCAGTATAAGTTTTTCTGTCCCAAACTATATGCAATGAGCCAAATTATGCCTCCAGCTACACCTTTGTCACCCAGCTATCTTTGCCTGGAAAGGTACAGTCTTATGCTATATTTGTACTAGCCAGGAGAAGAAAACGTGGTACCCTAGTTCAGTCAAACGTGCGTACTCTGGATGCTTCTGTAGTGGCAAAAATACATAAAGGAAAGTAAAATGTGGAGCATAGTGAAACAATTTCGAGCATGATAAGCCCTGTATATTTGCAAGAGGGGCACAGTTTGGGACATCAGCACCACAAGGGCTGATGGGACAGTACAAGTGGAGGGGCTGCAGAAAGCTTAAGAAAACCATTTAGCGTAGTAGTCCGTAAACCAGAGAGCTTTCCTTGTCCTTGTTTCCTTTTGTCATTTATGGAACTTGCTTGTAGCTAAAGTCACACAGGACTTGCTCTGTTAAAGATGTATTAAAGACAACGGTAATGTCTGAACACCTACCAGATTTACTGAATTCCCTCTTAGGCTATCTAAAAGGAAAAAAGATGCAGAGGACAGGCTATACGAATTGGAGAAGGAAATGGACCTTTCCAGATCTTCCCCCTGCAATGGGGTTTAAGAAGGCCACTGCAATTTCGGTTGCTACCTCTGTTTTATTGTCTTATTTTAAAGGTAGTTGCCAGTAGTGAGATGCTTGAAAGCAGCCTTCTAGCATCTAGGCTTCCCTTCTAGGATAAATTCCTCTATTCTACCTAGAGCGCACTTTGCATGTCATTTCCATATGCTTAGAGTTGCGACTATTTCAGAGTTGAAGATAACGAATTTATAAATTATTCAGGGAGATAATTCGAGATAGCCAGCATGGCTTCACCAGGGGCAAGTCCTGCCTGACAAACCTGGTGACTTTCTATGATGGAGTGACAGCATCAGTGGACAAGGGACAACCAACAGACGTCATCTATCTGGACTTCTGCAAGGCCTTTGACACGGTCCCCCACAACATCCTTCTCTCTAAATTGGAAAGCTATGGATTTGATGGGTGGACTGTTCGGTGGATAAGGAACTGGCTGGATGGTCGTGTCCAGAGGGTAGTGGTCAACGGCACAATGTCCGGATGGAGACCGGTGACAAGTGGTGTCCCTCAGGGGTCCGTACTAGGACCGGTGCTGTTCAACATCTTCATCAATGACTTGGACAGTGAGATAGAGTGCACCCTCAGCAAGTTTGCAGATGACACCAAGCTGAGTGGTGCGGTTGACACACCAGAAGGCCGGGATGTCATCCAGAGGGACCTGGACAGGCTGGAGAGGTGGGCCTGTGTGAACCTCATGAGGTTCAACAAGGCCAAGGGCAAGGTCCTGCACCTGGGATGGGGTAACCCCCAGTATCAATACAGCCTGGGGGGAGAAAGGATTGAGAGCAGCCCTGCCGAGAGGGACTTGGGGGTGCTGGTGGATAAAAAGCTGGACATGAGCCGGCAATGTGCCCTGGCAGCCCAGAAGGCCAACCGTACTCTGGGCTGCATCAGGAGGGGGGTTGGACTCGATGAATGTCAGTTCCATCCTCTTAGAGTTATCATTATTTCAGAGTATGATTCTATGATTCTATAAAAAAGCAAGAGTGAGGTATGGATTATAATGGTACTTGATTTTGTTGCACAGTGTCAACATGTTTAGAATGAGGAAAAACACCGAATGCTTTTTCTGCTAACTTGACAAATGCAGCAGTATGCCTTATCAATAAGCAGAGATACGATGAAGTAAGATCGGAATAGGTGATGCTCACAACTGAAAAAAAAAAATAGGGCTACGCTCCGATGCTCTTGGTATTTCTCTGCTAAGGAACCTCCTCCTCTCCACATCTGTACAGCCAGAGATGTGTTTTTTCCTTCAAATGATACCAGGTAGGTGTACACTATATACATTTGGCACTCCCAAAAGTCTCGAGGAACAGTCAAGAGTAAGACAGACTCTGGAATTCCCCTAGAAAGACAACTTGAGGCCCATTACCTTCTTTGCAAAGACCAAAGTCAGCAATTTTCACGAAGCCTTCTGTGTCCAGCAATAAGTTATCCAACTTCAAATCTCTAAAGGAACATTTGAGAACAAAATTGCATCACTGATGTTTCTTCAGTACTATTCAGAATAGCGGAAATTCATCTGTTGGAGACGGGTCAGCAACTACTTACCTATAGACTATTTTGTGTTCGTGTAAATACTGAAGCCCGAGAACCACGCATGCAGCATAGAATCTGTTGAAAAAGTTAAATTTTCGATGGATTGTAGTCTTGCTGTTCAGAACATAAAGTCTGCTACTATTGATCTTTTTTATTAACCATCCTCGGAAGGTTATGGATTGTTTTTTCAGGTACAGATTAGTTTTATACAAGGTCAGAGTTTTAAAGCCAGATGGCAAAAATGCTTAATCTTGCAGCTTTCAAGCTGCAGTACGTTTGCTTGGCCTGGAGGATAAATTTTCTGTAGTGTCCACTGCCATGGCATTGAAGAATTTCTAATTTGGCTTATTCTTTCCTTTTTAGACTAGTCTGCTATTTTATCTTTTCATTTAGCTTTTTTATGTAATTTTTTTTTAAAAAAACTATTATAAACATTAAATATTTGTATATGATTTTGTAATTCAATGTAGATGCAGGCACATTAAACCTGCATGTGTCTTTTTCTAACGAAACCAGTTAGAATCTCTGACCCTTTTAAAAACTTCAACAGTATTTATGGAAAGGACATAATGTAGAGGCACGTGCTGATAAAGATCTGAGTTCTTATCCACCGAATAAAATGCCCCTCACTTAGAGCCACAGAAAGGGACGGGTACTCACACTGCTCTTGGTTCAGAGAAGACATCCGTATGAATGTGCATCATCAGGTCCCCACCAGCAGCATATTCCATTACAAAGCAAACGTGATCTTTGGTTTGGAAACAAGCAAAAAGGTTCACCAAGAAGGGGTGTCTTACACTATTCACAGTTTCAAATATTCGCTTTTCACACATCAAGCTGCAAATGGAAAAATCGGTAAAAATTTAAAGCTCAATCCTGAACCACAATTTTTCAACTCTCAGAACCCATTGGTAATTTACACCTTATGTTTTTCCCTCTATTCCTCAGGATAAGTTAAGAACGGGGTTTTTTTTTGTTTCAAGAGAGAGGTTTTAACACTTGCACACACATGAAGTTGACGCCAGGATTTCCATAACGTTACACTGAGCTTTCACAAACGAAACAGGAAACCTAGCAGTCCATGAAAATTGTACCCTGCCCATTTTCCTTCCAAATACTCAGACTTGCATCAAGTATACATCGGTATCATGTGACATTAGCTTCAATCCATTTTTATTTTAATCGTATACAGTACATAAAGTGGAAAAACAGTAACAATATTATAGACCTCCATCTACTGTAATCCCAGATTATTTCTCCTCAAGCCAATTGGTTAATTTGTAGTTTATTTTTAATGCAGTTATCTTTCTTCCTGCAAGTCAAATGGATATAGTCATTATTAAACAGTTTTGTAGAAGCACCTTCTTGCACTAAAACTGGACAGTTTTGTAACTGCCACGTCACTTCCAAGCAAAGAAAAATCTGAGTTTTGGGGCAAAAAGACTGAAGTGGTGGAGTATACACAGAACTTAAGGGAAAATACGATGGACAAAGTATGACAGTATGTTACAGGTGGAGAAATACCATCATAGGTGTTTCTGCCAGTAAGGAAAATACAGTCACTGTCCTGAAATGTGATGGAAAGCTACAGAACAAGCCATTAGAATAAATAATTGCAGGAGAATCTACATGAAAAACAGGATCAGCTTTAAGTCGGAGCTGCAGTACAGGCAGGGTAAGAGGGGCACTAAATGGAATGACTGCTCCTGGGCTACCTGGCTCCCTCCTTGCCCCAGATGACAGCAGCCACCTAAGCAGGGAGACAACAACTTGTTCTGCTCTTTCACCGAATTTAACTGCTGTGTGGTAGAGCTTGCAGTTGTGCTGCATGCAGAAAGAAAACACAATTTATGGAATCTGCGTATTGTGTTTTGTAAACTGACCTGTCTACTTCATCCCGAGCAACAATATCTCCTTTCTTTAAGGCTTTAATAGCAAACATCTCGTTTGTGTTTTTGTACTCTGCCAACAGCACCTAAAACAGAAGATAAGCGATTCATTTAAGAGCTGTATCTAGTTTTTGAGATAGCCTTGACATTTGATACAGCCTTTTGACATTTACCTTTCCAAAATGTCCTCTGCCCAGTACAGCACAACATCTGAAATCCTTCAGACTGAACTGAAATCTTTGTTGTGATCTGTAGAAATAAAAAAAAGTCAAAAATCTTCTAGTTTGTTAACTTTTAAGAAATATTATTCAGATCAACAGCAGAACCACTGCATTTTTACCTTCTATCTTCAGGCTCTCGGGTGTTGGTATATTTTATGTCTGAATGGGGAGCATCAGGCTCACAGATTATTTCAGGCTGGAGTTTTGGGGCAATACTATTTCTGCCATTTTCAAAATCAAAGTTTGTTACTTCATCCTGTGAAGAAAAAGAAGCCTGAAAATTTCAAACTGACTGCGAAGGCAAACGAATGCTGAAATTTTACTATAAGCATGTGAAATTCTTAACACAGGAATCATCTAAGCTAGAACGATACACCTTAAGATGATACAGATAAGCACGCTTTTAACAGACTGGATGAAACCTATTGCTCCTGTTGCTATTTGCTCTGCTCTTTGTTAATAAAACCATTTTTTCCTGAACACTCGTTAACGATTTTGGGCTTTTGATTTTTCCGTGGTGGAACCAAGGACATGTAGAGTTAAACACACCAACTGTGGAAACACAGTTTGCTACCAGGAGTAATTGGAGCATTCACTTGAGACAATTCTGTATGCGTAAGTTAAGGGAGCATATGCTAAAATATAACGGAAGAAATCCGTCATAAAGATGCCGATATTACAACCTTGTTAAACTGTATAGCCCGAAATTCTTAAAGTGACTTGCCTGAGATGGCACATCAGCAGCCTTTAACTCAGAGGAAGATTCACATATTTCCCCAAGGGAAGATGCACGAGGTGGAGCAGGTGGAGGCTCAGGCTCAAGTTCAAAATCCAATTTGGCTACAGGAGAGTCACTGGCAAGAAAATAAATAACTCCTCAGTGTACAGCAGAGACTGTTTTAATAATATGAAAACGAACTTAAACCAGCACGTTATGTAGACTTCTCCTAAAGCAAATCTTGTGCGTGGAGATCTGTCTATAAAATGGATGTCTAAAGTTAAAACATTGAAAGGTCTGCAGGCTTGCAGAATAAACAGATTTGACATACGTTACATTAGGGCACAAGCATCTTGCTGTTACTCTTGCTCTCAAAAGCCCTTAAAAATTGCAGATATCACCTACCTGGCTGGCAGCGTTAGTTCAGCAATGTGTGCATCAACCACTGGCCCAGTAGCAGACACGGCTGCTTGAGGGCTGAAGGTGCCAGAGTGATTTACTGTAGGAATAGCTCTTCTTACCAGCCTTCCCCAAGTGGCAATATTAATATTCATTTGAGGAGCTCTGAGAAACGTTTTGCCTGTGGATATTGTGAAAAAAGAAAACAGAGGGCAAGTAATTTCCTTACTTATTACCAAAAGCTATAATAAAAAAAATTCATATTAATCAGTTTATAGTTTATGAAGAACAAACTGAATTTGTCACACTCCTTAGCAAGTCCTAATTGTTCACTATTAAATGCTAATGCATAATAAGGTATTTTAAAACAAAAACATTTCTAAATGCAATGCCAAATCCTTCATAATCAACAGCTTTATTCACAGGCAAATATTAGGTCTCTGTATAAAAAAATACCACAGATCTGTACAATTTTTAAGCTTTACATGTTTATATTAAACAATCACCTTGCTGTTTTGAAAAAATTTTCTTCTGCCTCTGGAGTTTTGGTCTTCTTTCAATAACCGGATTAAAAAACGTAACCTGCAGTTCAAAAAATGTGTGTTACAATTCAGGTTTCAGAACAAAATGCATTCTTAAAAGTTTAAGAAAGACTTCTCAAACTATTCTGCAATGTTATACTTGCAAGTCTGCTCAAGTGCTTCAAAGAAACATTCTTACCTCTGCAAACAGAGTGCCCTGGGGTTCAAGATAGAGACACATGCCATGCCGTTGGTTATCCAGGAAGTCTTCCAACCTCAGAAACTTTACTGCACACAAAGATCTCCAGTCACGCCAATAAACTGAGATTTCTAACTCACGTGACTACGACAGGAAACATATACACAGGAAATTAGTTATTAGCAATTGTTCTGCAAGAGTTACCTCTGTACAGTCATAAGATCCAGCAACTCCAGGGTCAGGATGCTGAGCTGTTACTTCAGAAGAGTGCTAGGGCTAACTGGCCATACGGAGCAAGCTCTCGCTAGGATGATCACAGCATTTCACTTCAGGTGCTACTGCCAGTGCCCAAATAAAAGTACAAAATTCCCCCAAGAGTAGAAGGAGAGAGTCACAAGCAGTCGCCCGACTTTCTGAGTCAGTCTAACAACAGTGCTAGCTCAAAATATTTTTAGCTCAAGTTCTGACAACAAATTTTTGCCTGTGTTTAGAAACCTCAACTTTACTAGTTTTCCATGTTATGTACAAGTAGCAATTGCATTTCACGGCTGCATGGTGATATTTTAGTACCTGCATGCACATCATGATGCGAGACTTTATACAGCAACTCTAGAAATACATACAGGTTTTGTAACATGGTCGTGAAGAGGGGCCAAAAACTTTAAACTAACAAGAACTACTGCTATATTTGCCGGTGGGATTTATATATTCTTAGGGTGTCTTATACACTTGTTAAAAAAGCTTGTTACAAAATGTGAAGAATCCTGCAATATAATATAACGGCAGCATTGTATGGTACTAAGTTGTTAGCATAGTTTAATTCCATCATGATGCATCAATTTACTGTCTTTATATGATAGCTGTAGGTTTTAGAAGAAACAAAAGTTCAGAAGAAGCAACAGATAAAAATTGATAGGGTTTGGAATGTGCATTTCAAATATGGAAGGATGCGTGGTCATGCCCAGCAGAAGCAAGGTCCTCTTCTGGCCAAAACCCATCTAATACTGACTTCTTAAATAGTGAACATGACACACACTAGGCTGGTAGGAGCAGTGACTAAACTTTGACTAATCGAAGTTGTGGTCTTAATCTGAGAATAATCAAGGCTTGAGGACTCCACAGCTGCTGGTTTTGTCTGCACTACTTCTAACCAGAACCTGAATTTCTCTACCTGCAGGTCTAAAACTGCTTCCTTCCTCGATGGAAGAAGTCTGCTTTGGGGCTCAGAGGGGTGGGGTGAGGCGGGGAGAGAGCAAAAACAGGAAGGTGGTTTTTTTTTTTCCTCTCATTTGTTTTAAATATATACTGGAGATGACATTTAGGGTCCTAAAATACAGTTTATTTTTCAGTCTACTTTAAATACACGGAAAAAAAAAAGCCCCAACCTTGTACCTTAAAATCCTACGACTATCAAGTATTTAAAAACCAAATGCTTGATTAAACCTGTGTAACATAAATTCTCTTCAAAAGGTTGTGAGGAAAGAAACACCAAGTATCATTTCAATACTTGTGTCCTCTAAGTAACATTTAAGGCTCTAGGAAAGAACTATCAGTGAATTTATTATTCCTGAAGAATTCATCAGCTTCACATGAGAACACTTTTACAGAAGCACTGTAAAATTCTATGACATAGCCATACCAAAATATCCAAACTGTGTCTGATATTAGAATTTACTGATAAATAATGAGAAGTTTATGATCCTAATAAAAATTTAAGCACGATCTATCACAGGCTAAACAGATGCTAAGTGTTAGATCTTGGATAAAAATATTATGTCAGTTTGGAGGCCAGAAAAGGTAAAATTTCTAGAATGCCAGCCCAGCCTAACAGCTTAACCCCAGGGAGCTCATTCTGTTAAGGGTGGGAATACTTGCACATAGGAAATTTGAACATAATCAGAACAACAGGAAAAAAGAAAGCAAGCAACATGAAATGAATCTAAAGAATTGACTATAGCTGTGAACGAAATAAGACCACATTTTTACCCTGTCTAGCTCCAGTGTAAATTTCTGATCCCATGACTGATTGGAAATAGGTTTCCAGCTAGTTTGACCAACCACAGTGTTATCCAGCTTCAGCACAGCACAGACTTCATCTGTAAGTAAAGTACACAAACTCAGCTTAAATCTTTAAGAGGATTTTCCACAAACAAAAGAAATCTTCAGTAAGTTTCCCTTAAAAATGTAATCTCATATTTAATTGCTTCTCATGGACATAATAGTGTGGCTGTGGTTTTGCTTTTTTTTTTTCCCCCTTTTTTTAAACAACTTGACAGATGAAGAAACATGTAAGTCTCAAGCTTCAAATCAATTTAGTATTTAAATTACAGAACACAGCATGCACATTAAAATGTGAATAAGAGATACACATAACAATAAAAGAAGTAAGAGTATACTGAACTGGACAAGTCATCAGTTTTCAGAAGGTTTCTACTACTCCCACTTTTATTTTTACTGGTTCTGCTCATGAAAGATGATCTGGCTTCATTTGGACTCCAAGCAGGTAGCGTAATCGATGTGGCTTTTGATCGACCAGGGACGTTTTCCAAAATATCTTGGCAGCCCATTAGCCTAACTTCCAGGGTACCTGGAACAAGACAGACAATGATTTATCAGAGATTGCTGTTCTGAAGTAAACAAAGCGAATGACTAGTGATTGATTTATGGCAATGGTTCACATTCTGACCCCTGCAGGGTAGAACAGAAATATCAGAAGAAATCAAAAGACAGATCTAAGACAGACAAATATACTGAAAATAAGCATTAGAAGTGAAATATGTGGGACTCAACCTTCTAGAAGGAGCAGCAGTTCACCAAAATAACATGAAATAAGTTTTTGTTCCGTGTCTCACAGGAATCTTTGTCTTCTTCCCTTGAAAACCTAACTGAGTTGGGTTCAAGTTGTAAGGAATGCCATTTTTTAAGATGGCAAACCTTAAGTCTCTTTTTAAAATGATGGATCTTGCAGATGGGACAATAGCAATTTTTGGAGAGTTTATATAACCAATTAATATTGGATACATCACTTCAGTAATTAAAGTTAATAGACTGACTATTGAAGCTACAATTTTTTTTAAGAGACATGCCGAAATCACATTTGCCCGCTGCATGCTAAAGTCAAATTTGAGTTAGTACATAATTTTAAAAAAATCATTGAATTGTTCTGACTTGACTGAATTTGGATTTCTAAAAGCTGAGCCAAGAAGCTACTCTTCAAAATCTTCCACATCTTTAACCAAATGAGGTATAGAGGCTGCTGTTCTAATTTAAGAGAGTTTCCTCCAGCAGCACAGAAACATCTGAATACCACAGATGGTTGCAGGAACGGTAGGCTTACCTCATCCTGTACAAGATAGCATCTGTAAAACGGTGACACCACTCAGAATATTAACTATTGTAAGTGCTGAAATTAGCCAGTTCGTAATCATACAGTCAGCTAGAAAAGCAGCTCCTAAATGCAGTGTTCTTTTGACAGGAAATGTACTTAACTGTGAAACTTAAATGTGCTCTTTTGTAACAGAAACTTAAGTCAAACTTGACCCCCAAATGGTCTGGCAACATTACAGCCCACGGAACAGACACCAAGAAACCAGTTTGAGAAGAAATCTCACCCTGTGGGGAGCCAATGGCTGTGAGTGACAGCTAAGCATTAGGCTAGGAAAACAGAGAGATGCTACTGGCTCCCAGAACAGGTTAAAAGGTAAAAGAATACTTAAATCCCAAACTCTGCTTAGGGAAAAAAAAAAGAAATTAATAAGCAGAGAGGCTATAATCTTGTGTAAAGACTGGATGTGTATCAGAAAGTTCTGTTGATGCCCTTTAAAAAGCATGACAGTAGCACTGATCTATTTTTCCCCGAAGTGTTAGAGGCAAACCACAAAGACACCGTTCATTTAATCCAGTTCCACACAAAAGCTCTTTGTGCAGCCAATATGAAAGTGAAACCATTGAGAACTTCACAAGCATGTAGCTCTGTTTTGATAATTCCTATGAGAAACTGTTCATATGTATCAGTAAATCACGTTTAAAGAGGAACTATTTGTCACTATAATGTAACTGACCTGTGATCATGTATTAAACAATAAAAAAAAAAAAAAAAAGCTGTTTTAAACGCAAGGCACGATACTTCCTGCCCATGTCCACTGATCATTCGAGATTCCTTATGATGGAAAAGAGTTCCCCTCATCGCTCTGCAACTTTACAAGGGCTCTCGGCTGAGGTCCTGATGCTTTTTACCCTTTGCTATGTGTCCTACTGAACCAAAACGGAAGACAAGTAGACTCGCTCCATTTTATTATTATTGCAGCTCAGCAGAAGAGTTCCTCTTTTTGTTTTAAAATATAACTCCACAGTACTTCAAAACTAAACTCTGGTTTCAGTTATACACGTCTAACTAGAGTAACATTTGAATTAGATTATTTTTGTAATAAACTTACTCTGGTAATAGTTGGTTTAATAGTTACATGTAAAATGTTTTAGGAAACAAAACAAACCCCCAAACTTACCTATACTAGTAATTCTTATATGACCACTTACTAAGTAAATTTAGTAAAGCAACATACCCCAAGTAGTCAAAAGTATTTGCTTTTTCTTTAAAGACATTGGAAGGCAAATGTTTAAGAGCTTTGTTAAAGTATGGCACATCTCTTGAAACAGTTTATTTCCAATGAAGGACAAGTCCAGGTGAACCCCAACTATGAGAAGCTACTAAGTCTTATATTTATATATATAAATGTACTGTTCCCTAACGGTAGACTAAGTCTCTTAAAAAACCCAAAAAAACACAACCACACAAAACGAAAACCAAAAAAACCCCCCAAACCCTCCACGTTTAATTGCAAGGAAAACAATTCACAGCAATAAATAGAGGCTTCAGTAGTTCCATGTACATTTGTTAGGATCTCCCTCTTCGGTTTAGAAATATAACACATGTTTTGGTAGCATAAATCTCACCTTCTAGGAAGCCAGTGTGGTCCAGTGGGTAAAATAGGGACTGGGAGAAAAGCTGGGTGCCTATCTCAGCTCTGCCACTGACTTGTTGTATGACCAGGGCAAGTCACTTAACCCTTCTGCACCTCAGTTTCCCCATCTGTAAAATGGGGATAATGATACTTACCCACCTTTTAAAGTGCTTGATAATCTAAAGATGACAGGCGTTAGGTAAACGCTAGTAATATTGTTCCATAGTGACCTAACTTAAGGTCAGAACTTCACTTTTTCAACAGGATTATAAAAAGGTCAACAAATAAATCAAATAAACTTATCTGCATTTTTTGGTGCATAGACACTTGGAAATTCTAAATGCCTTTGTCTAGGAAGAGAACAACAATGAAATATATCCAGAAAGAAAGAAAGTTGGCATTAAAGACATATTTTAAACCATTTAATAAAATAATAAAAAAAGTCCATAAATCATACCTGTTAAAGCTGCTGGTTTGGACAGTGTACTATACTGGTTTTGAGTAGATATTACACTTTGACGAGGACTTAATGTGGGTGAAGAGACCAGTGAAAGCTCCTCTATAATAATACTGCTTTTGGGATGGTTTTTAGGAAGTTCACTCAATCTCTGCTCCAGTGAATACTTCAAAAGGTCCAACTTCTGGCTTGATTCATTAAATCTTGCTTGTGCCTTTTTAAAATAAAAAAAAAAAATTGAAATATTTCAAGGGTTTTTTTCTTGAAAGAACATTTAAAATAAAGTATCATAAATCGTAATGACGTAAATTACTTCTGAAAGTGCCTTTCTGTCGGTAACTTTCCCAGATCCAAGCAATTTCATCACATTTTTTGCACCTTCTGCTACAGCATACTCTATCCTAAAATGATGCCGTAATTCTTCCATTCGGAGTTCAAGAGGGCTTATCACAGGTTTTGCTGCAAAGAGATATAAACAAACAATCTTCATTGAAGACCACACCCATGTTTAATTTCTTTAATATTAATCCCTCTCCCATATAAACAGAGAGGAGGGGAGGAAAAAAAAAAGAAAAAAAGTAGTGAGAGATGCAGATTTGGCAGTTTAAAGAAAAGGTTCAAGTATGACATAAAAGCAACAATGAAATTTTAAGCATCTGCTTTTGAAGGAAGAAATAATTGATCGGGGTCTCAATCCAATAAACAGGTCCTACTCCTTGAAGAGCTATAATCGCTAGAGGATGTGAGAAAAAGAATGCGTCTTCAGGGGAGTTAAGGGCCAAAAGCCAAATCTCCAAAACATCAGTCAGCTGGCAAGAAGGAGGTTTTGAGATTTCCACATTTCTGTACCACGCTCTGAGGATTTATCTTTCAACCTGCTCTGTAGCCAAGCAGATCCCTGATCGGTTTCTGATAATTCACGAAATCCCAGGGAATCTGGCTTCTGCCAGCACAGAGAATGTAAGAGGTCCCGTACACTGCCTTCCCCAAATGCTTTGGGTTAACCATTCTAATGTCCACTTCTTGCAGTGTTTAGATTTCCTGAACAGAATTAGAAAGTTTCCTGGATACACTCCTTTCTGTTTAAAGCTCTAAGAGCAGTAGGAACACAAAAAGGCATTTGAAAGCCCTTTCTAGCTTGAATACCTTTCTGTTTCTTTTAAACAAATGATATACATAATCCACGTGCTAAGATGGGAGTGTTAAAAAACAGCCAGAAGTGTCACAAGAGTAAAACAAAGAAAATCAACCTCCCCCCGCAAAACAGAACATGCACACACATACACACACACACACACACACAAGCAAGCTTTTCATTCCCTAGGATATACCCAGGCTCTGATTACAAGCATCATCATACAACTGCAATACTCAGAAACCCATATGAATAAACTTCAAGACTTAGAGATGTACCAATATGCCCACAATTTTATAGTACTCTCATGCTATTATAGCTCAGGCGTGATTTTGTTTTATTTAAAGATTTCCAAAGAAATGCAAGTTTAAAACTGCGTCTGAAATGCAGCGGGAGTATTTCAAGTCAGGTCGTTTTTAAAAACACTGATCGTTTTGTTGTTTTTAAAATAGTTGTTTACTACTCAATCTAGCCTGAATACTCATAAAACCAGCAAAAAATTCGCCTCCATCTGTGCTCCCATTAGTAATAATGAGGTCAATCTATTTAAGTATGACAAGCAGGCTTTGCATCTGCATCAGATTTTTTTTTTATAGGATAGTGAAAAGATTATACGCTTTAAAGAAAATTACTAGTCATTGTTAAGACAAAGCAAGCGTGCATGGAGGGAGAATGAAGACCGCAAAGCAAAAATGGACTGCATAAGGTATAAAAAAAGATGATGAAGAGAAACTGTATTTCTCTTCATTAAGCTTAAGGTATTTTGCTTCAAGTCAGATGTATTTGGCATCCTAACACACACGACGGTATGCCTAGTCTCTGATTATTTTTGGTTCATGCAAGCTTTGTCTAACATTCCTACTAGAAATTTATGATAACTCTGTGCATATGGGTACACCTCTACATGGCATTCTGACATTCATGATTGATATTTCCTTTCTACTCCATCACCATTATCAAAAGCCAATTCATTGGTCTGGACTGCCTGAAGAATCTGCATCCTTATAACTTCTATTTTTGTCTTGCTGTCCTGGAGCATCTGCTGAGCTGTGGCAAGAAGTTTTCGATCCTGTTAAAACAAACAAAATCAAAATCGTAAACTCTTAATGGAACAAAACACATTGAAAGCTTCAAAACACACACGCTATAGGAACAAGAACTACACCTATGCAGTTCATTCAGTATGGCAGATCAGTTCAACTAACCACATTAGGATATTAGGGGAAATTAAGTTAGGACAGAAGCATATGCTAGTTGATTAAAGACTCTCATGGAAACCGTACCTGTTCAAAGCTGAATAAACAAGGCACGATCTAGCAACATTACATGTGTAGATTAATGTTTTCTAAACTGATACTGAAGAAAGGACAAGATACTTAGTGCAAAATACCTCCACCCTGTGTAGAATGACTCAAATTTACTGTGAGTATGACGAGAACTCTCCTAACAGACAAATTTGCTGGACTAAGTCCACATAAAAGTCATCGTACTAATTCACTCGAGCTGATTTTCAATCTTGAAATGAGAAATATGAAGTTAGCTTACATAGCAGATTATAAGTAAGTCTGCAGTGTGTTTTTCTGAACAATCAAAGCTGAAGATTTTTTTTGCATTAAGTAATGCATAATATGCGAGGGTTACTTCATCAGCTATTTCATCAGCAACCTAAGCACAGTACTTTCCATCTAAATAAAGTAAGCCAACCCATTTTTGTTTTCAAAAGCAGTAACCCAAGAAGCAGTTTAGAAGAGACAATTTCTGAAGACGAACTTCCAAACTAACTGATAATACCATTTCATTGTCAGGAGCGCAGGCAGCCATCCACACGTTTCCCAGGGATACCATTTTTTGTCCTCCAGCTAGAGGAGATCTGATTTACAATGGATTATCAAATGGTTCTCGGATGTGGAGCTGTGCATGTGCTTCTATAGCTGCTGCATGGCTCGCTCTATATGTTCTGGGAATTACCAGATAACTTAAAGGTGATCTGACTTGCAGTAAGAACAAAAAAAGGGGTATAAGAAAAATTTAAGGCAGTCTGTTTGTCCTGTCTGTGCAGTGCCAATCAATCACAGTAATTAATAGTAGCCACTGTAGATGAGTATCACACTTGTTATAGCCCCGAGGGTATTCTGGTTAACTCATTTCGTAGCCACTCTATAACCTCATTAATAAGTTACTTTCCCATGGACGTGGTTTATACTTATATTTTTAATTTTATAATGAAGTTATTAATTATTTAAGAAGTTAAAGACATTCAATTCCTCCCCTTACCACAACCAAGACAAAGCACTGCAGTGTAATACAGAGCTAGAAATACTGGCACCACGAAGCATACGGCGAGAAAAATCAGTATGCTGAGAAGAGAGAAATTTACTTTCACAGAGTTCCTCTAAGATGCTGCACCGAATGCATTGCTCACTTGGATATTTTAATGCTGCCCTATGTTCTGCAGGGTAGATACAGCACGATATACACGTAAAATGCTTTGGCTGCATGGGGAGAAACTGTACCCCCTCCGCACACCATAGTCTCAGAACTCTTGGTTTAAGTTTTATATTAATCAACGTTTCAGAGAAATAGCACTAGTTTTCATATTGTAAGATTCCATGTTAGCTATCCAATTATTTAATGAGTACACTGAATTTCCTAAATAAATGCTTTCTCAAATACAACTGTCAACTTTTGAAATAACCACTGTCTACAGCGGAGCGTAGGATCCAAGCAGCAGATTACAAGCATCTCTAGAAGCCTGTATTAAACCTTATCCATGCATCATTCTGATGTATAAATATGCTGTAAGTGTTTCTTTGTCTGTATCTTCACTTTTATCTTATTTTTGATCTTGCTGCTCTTGATTGTCCCTCATATCCTCTTACTGCAATGGATTTGCTCGCTCAGGGGCAACATCAGCCCTTCGATGTATAGAATGGAGGTAATTCAGGATTATAGAGATATCCTCCTGTTTTCAAGACACAGAAAATCCCATCTTCAGAATCAAAATGGATATGTTATACTCAGCAGCTCTTTTAGGGTTGGAGGCTGAATACAAAGCATTTCAAGGCATCTCGCGAGTATAGAAGAGCAGGCAGTGCCTTGTAAAGCTGATCTGCAAAGCTGTCGTGGGATCTCGGAGGATCCACGCAAGTCCAAGACAAGATGATCAGTATCTCAAACACTGAAGTCCAAATAGGTTGAGCTGAACGCTACTGAAGCGAGCAGAGTAAGTGCAAAGGGAAAGCCCTCCCATGAGATGGTGGGTTTATTACTGTTAACAGACTGCTTTTTCATTTTTAAGAAACAAATTATGACCTCCCTCCATTAAATTTAGGTCTGACAATAATACAACAAATTTGAAATTAGATCATATAGCACCCTTGAATGAAGGTCACAAAAGAGTTTAACATGCTTTTATTAAATAAATAATAGTAGTCCTGGAACTACTTTTTAAAGAACTACTGGATTACCGGGGTTGGATTCAAACTAGGAATTTTCTGTCCCTTTCGCTCATCTCATCCAGACACTTGAGTTGTTTTAAGCTCTGCTTTTTAAGACGTAATCACCATGCTCAAGCCTACAGTTTAAACCTGCCAAATTAACTCACTACTGAGTATCGAGAACATGAGAGAATGAATACGCACCATTTCCATCCTGTCTGTTGAAGCAACTGGCAATGCTTTTGGGTTTTCCAGCTTGCTCTCCCCAGCCCAGCTACTATATACAGCCTAGCTCGTAGGCTGAGTTAAGAATTTACCAATTGCAAATACAAGATTCAATCATCAATTTTAATTACATGCCTCAATCCTAAAGCAAGCCAGAATTTATCCTTTCCACCTAGTCTGATCAAAGCCTGCTAACAATGTCTAATATTATAGCCTGAGTGTTTAGTTAAGTTTTTTTCAGGCTGCTGTAAGGTTACTTACTGAGGGTTTATTAGGAACGTAATTCATGCACGCCTTTTGATCCAGTGGGTCAGCTGATTATTATTTTTAAGTGTACCTGATGTTAAGTACATGGCCCCAGAGGATGTAGACTCCAGGGTTTCCAGGAGCTGAGGGACTGTGGTGCGTGGACGGCATTCCCAGACCCTTAGTCATAAGGTGCACTCCAGATATTTCTTCCATTTGCCCCAGGCTAGTAGGTTACAGGCCACTTTCAGATAAGGCTACCAAAGTACCAGCTGGTTCAACAGAAGTGGTGCCGGGACCAAATGAGCTTGATGGCACCTATGGTGCATCTAGGCTAAACTCATCTTTCTGGGAGTGAGCAGCATTCACTGTAATTTTTTCGAGGTCTATGAAAGTCATACAGTAGGCAGACACAAAGTACTCTGCCTCTCCACAGTCCCTAGCAGAAATTCACTCAGAAACATGAAGTTCCTTTCCAGCACTTTCCAATTAGTATAAATTATAAGGGGTAGCAACGCAATTCACAGATGTCTACTCTTCAAGTCAAACACTTCTTTTTAATGAGTTCACTGACCTACTAGGTGTTGGCTCAGTCAGTTAAGAACTTAAAACATTTCTATTTTATTTACTGTTGTCTGGATGCAGAAACATCTAACCAAGCTACTACGCACTGTTGGATCTACGCTTGTGTTCCCCCCTAGTTTGGAAATTTATCTCCTTAATGATTTAGTAAAAGTAAATGGAAAAAACAGGTAATAAGTAACTAATAGAGGGTGAAGGGGCAGGTAAGCAGAGGACACCCCACTGATTTTGTCTCATTTGAGAACTAGAACTCCCTTATACTCATAAAATGTGGTTTTGGTTTTTGGTGGTGGTAGTGGTTTTGGTGGTTGGATTTTTTTTTTTTTTTAATTTAAAAAGTTTGGCTTGTCTTTCAATTGAATTAAGGGATTCTTAGTGTCTGATGAATTTTATTACATAGCTAGGACTACGTGATAAGTCAAATGCATTTCGGGGTTAGCAAAGACCCCCTCCCACCCCCTTCCACTTAGAGAGCTTCTGGTGCTATCAAGAGAGTGAATGCAAGTGAGCAGATGTTTAAAATTCAGATCTAGAAATAACTGTGGCTTTATTTTTAATTTCAGTTTGATGCTATCAGATGCTACCTCTAGAATACGACAGTTGTGTAAAAGAAGTATTAGGTGTATTTTGTGTACATGTGTACTAAAGTAGATTATCACAACTCTATCAGAATACACATCTTATTAAAACAAATATTTGGTAGCAATTTTTTGACTGCCAACTAAAACTAGATGACCATTTCAGAAGCATACTTGGCAATGCTGCCTTTTGTGTAATTATCATGCACATTACAACTCTAAACTAATGGATTTTTTTTTTTTTTTAAATGGAGCTAGGAAAAGCATCAGACATCACTCAGTGTCATACCAAGCTTTGCTGCTAAGTGAATCACACACGATCAAAGATTACTAGATGTACTAAATTTAGTAAGCCGGATTTGTTATTTAGGTTGAACTGCATGTGGACAAATTGATAAAACAAATCACTTGAGTGGGTATCAAACCACAACAAAAAATGGTATAGAAATTTGTAGCAAATTTGACATAACTACTTAACAAAAACATACCCCAAACTAAACCCACTGAAATTGCATGCTATTTACACATTGTACATTCATAACCACACAAATATGAAAATGTACAATAATTTAATGTTCTTTAAGCATTGCAAAGCCTTACCTTTGAAGAGCCATTGGAGTACATCTGTATCATATTTTCTGCTCCCTGTTTCACCTTCAGTTCTATATCCAATTGCTTCTTTAAGGCCATTAATCTGTTGTTAGTAGGAAAACGAGGATCGCTATTTGGAGTATCAGGAGTCCTAGGACAATCTGGGAATTAAAGGTAAGATGTAACATGTGCAGAAAAAGAAAATAAAAAAAACCCTAACCCCCCAAACCCCCAAAAGCAAACCCCTCTCCCCAAAAAACCCCCAAGAAACTTTTCTATTCTATTGTTATAGGTTACACAAAGCTGGAACATCATACTTAAGCATTAGTACTAACCCTCCTGCTGTCCAGAGCTACTTTGCAACAGCACTGCAAATGCGCCTTAGCATGAAAAGCCTGGCAAAAGCCTATGACTCCTACACACGTCCTAATTCACATGAATCACTTCCGGGAGCGGGGAAATAGGCAGGTCTGCAGCTAGGTCTATTTTCGTTTCAAAGGGGATTTATTTCTTCTGGAATGTCTTGAGTCAATTAAAAATGCAGTTTTTCCATTAAGCTTTCTTACACTCCTGATTTTAAATCGAAGTGTTTTAAAAAAAGAAACTCAGACAATAATATTCAATATTAATGAGCATGGTCTAAATACAGATATTAAGTAGATCCTCATTGATTCTAGCGTGAACACTGCAGACACGGTTTATGTCAAAATTAAGAATAGATAAAATGAGCCTTTTCCTTGGTCATAAAGCTGAACGATTTTTGCTCTGGAATCCTAACAGAATCCTGGGATAACTGGATATATAGGCAGACAGGTTATTGAACAACTGTGATCTGTGGGAAGGATAACGCATTTTCGTTTGACAGTATTACTGTGTTTACTTTTCCACCTTGCTGGATTAATTTAATGGAATGCAAGTTAGTTTTACCAATTAAATTCTATAGTCAAACTCCTTAAGTTTTCTGTCTTCTTTCAGAAAAGTCTATTAATCACAGTTCGCATTTCAGTTCTGCAACATGAACTGTCAGCAAACTGAAAAGAAGTGGCCACTGGACTATTTCCTAGTACTTAACTATTTCCAGCATGACTGTCCTTTTAGCTAACTATCTTCCCTAACAGTCCCAATGGCTTCTCTTGCAAACTCTTTGTAAAAGAGGATAAATTACATCCACTGTAATAATGTTTTTTTTGTTCTTGATTTCTTCTACCCTAATGACTGAGAGAATACCTCCTCTATGGGCAGGTGACATTAATTGCTCTCCTAGAAGATAATGTTTACCCAAGACCAATAGTACAGTCTTTTTTTTTTCCAATTTTAATTAATTTTCCTTGAATTAAAACTAGGATGATGGATCAAGTTCCTGAAATCTTCAATTACTAGAAAATACAGGCATTGCACTAACGCACAAATTATTAAGTATGCGGTGTCATGGGGAGGAGATGTCTTATCTACCACTTCATATTTCTTCTGTAGGAGCTTCTGATAACTAGTTTTGGAGATTTAATGCATTTTACTTTTGAGTTTGCTGTGTAATTTCCTCCTAAATTGCAATTTTTGCTGAGGCTACATACAGATTTCATATAAGGAGGATTTTTAATTTCCTCTCCTGCTAAATTCACTCTTCAAGACTTACTGCATCCTCACTACTTAAAGGTAGTACAGAAAATACCAGATGTTTAAAAAAAAAAAAAAAAAATCTGTGTTATTCCTCATCTGTTTTGTCGTTCATCCTCTCCTCACTGTTCTGGCTTAGTTTCTCTGTGAAACTGCACTTGAACAGTTTTACCTTAAATCTGTTATTAATAAAACAAAGATTAACAACATGCTTTCCTCTCACTTATGTCTTCACATTCAACTAATCCTCACCTAATAATCTATTCAAAATTAGAAAAAACGTGAAACTTGAATGTCACAGTGTCAAGTCTCCTTGTAAAGCAGATTAATCCTATAAATGAGTATTTACCAACTTCAGATTTATGATACAGGCCTCCACCACTTAACCATCCCAGCCCTCTGATGATCCCTGGGAAGACTGTGGGGCTCCTGAAGTCTGTTTTCAGAGCTTTTAAAGATGCACACAAGCAATTTTCCTTTGCATTAAAACAACACTCAAGTTGCAAGTCAAGGGCTAATTAGAGATACGCCGGTTCAGGTTGCCCAGGCAGCTGTTATTATCTCCCTTTGAGTGTCTGCGCTGGGAAGGTGTAACCACACCACTTACCTGGGTCATCTCAAGAGTTGGTCTGCACTTGTGGACCTAAACTACCCCCTTACCATTTAATTTAAGTGGGTTTACTATATGCTTTGTTGACCAGCAGCAGCAAAGGAAACTCTTCTGCAGTATAGACTAATAGCTAGGAAGAAATCATTTTTTGCCTTCAGGCATAATAGCTGCTCACTAAACTCCCAAACATGGAACAATATAGTTTCTTAACAAAGATTTTTTTTTTTTTTTTTTTAAAAGAAAAACCAAAAATGCTTACCAACAACTTTTCAGAAATGGCTTCCAAGTGATTCCTTCTCCCCGACCCTATTACAATTCAGTAAGCAGCCTGAGGCAGCTTCTTATAGAAGAATTCAGATTAAAGTTTTAAATCAGCCAGACAAACTGGTCCTGTTATGGAAAGCGCTGACAACCTTAGCAGCAGCACTACCAGCTACATCTATATTAGCTGTTTCCCTCTCTGTAACGTCTACTGCGGTTGTAATCACTTTGGTACAGCTGGTTATCTCTGATCTACTTATGTAAAGCACTATACAGAGGGGCTCAAATCTTATCTGGAGACATTTAGTCATCTTCCTAATACAAATAAGTAATAAATTAATCCAGATAATCACAATCAATGGGATTTATGTATATGCTTAAAGTTAAACAAGAGTTAAGCACTCCTACCAAACTGGTATTTCACTCAATAGGTAAGTAGGGACTGGGGAAAAAAAAAGAGATTCTCCAGTTTGCCATGTTTGTTGGTCAGTATGGACAGTACAAGACTTGACATTTTGGATGCATTCGAGTCCAACTTTGCACAGAACAGCCAGAGCCTTGCTGGGGTATGGATTAGTGCCCCCAGGCATTTCCTTCTTGATCATGAGTATCAAGTGAAGCGACAGATGTATTTCAAGCAAACTTGACTTCACTTCAAATAACTAGTGTGTTATTTTTGTTGAACAACTATGAATGTTGTTGCTTAACACCATGAGTTCTGTGCGGCTTGTTAGCACACATCCAGGCTGCTGGAAGAGCTGCAGCACTGCTTCCCAGCACCTGCAGTGTCCTGTTGTCATGAAAATATACTCCTAAGACTTATAATAAGTTAACTGTGATGGTTTAACAGATTTTTTATTTTTAATGTCTGGATTGCATCAGGATAATGGCAATTTTCAGTCTGAAATGTTTATCTTAACCATAATCTTTGCTCTTTTGAAAACCTTTTCAGTTTGAGTCTTTGCATCGTGCTCACCAGCAAAAACTTCTTGCTTCTAAATTGCCTGTTACCAGTGCTCCTGCCTAAATTACATTTATTAGAGGATTGACACAGCTCTACTCTTCTGAGACTGCTGTTCATTCCTTTGGGGACTCATCCCCAGACGCTAGGTATGCTATTCCTTCAATAAGCTCAGTGTGAAATCTAAGATCCCATGTTACTTTCTGAATTTGGGTTCCCAGATGGTACTGCAGCATGCTGCTAAGCTATTCAATTAGCAGCAAGTGCCCTTTGGTAAACAGTTAATTTTAATCTTATTTGAGGATATTTAATTGCAGTTAGCTTCATCAGTGTCATACCCAACAGAAATACCCATGATGCATGTTCAGGCATTGCTGGAGGGGGGAAGGAAGAGGCATCATCAGGCTTTTCTCAGGGAGTCAGATGGTTGCATCGGCACGTGAACCAAGCCATCAGTAAGTCCAAGGTAGCGGTGGACATTCTGCACTCGGAGAACACCCAGCGCTGACCTCCTGGAAGCTTCTGAAGTTCAACTGAATTTCAATTCAGTAGCGGCTAATTTTAACTACTAAACAAGTGACAGGAGATTGTTTCAAACGGCTTCAGTAATGTTATTCAACATTAAGGTTCCCAAAAGTTACCATGAAATTCCTATGGATATGAGCCTTGCAGGTGGGAGTCTACTGTCTAAAAAGTCACTGCCTCTACCGATTTGGTTGCTACCAGTTTCCAATAACTGGTCTTATACAGACACCTTGCTGTCTGACAGATTAACCTAGTCATTTGTAGGGACAAAGAGATCCCCAAACCAGTTTCTCTCTCACTCCTCTGTCAGCTAGCCACGTTCTTAAACAGAATAGTTCATTTTCTTTGTGACCCCTGGAACAAAATTTGATGTAAAGTGGATAGCTTAGAAGTTAGGAGAATGGAAGAAGAGGCATAGAATCACAGAATGTTTTGGGTTGGAAGGGACCCCTAGAGGTCATCTAGTCCAACCCCTCTGCAGGAAGCAGAGACACCTTTAACCAGCTCAGGTTGCTCAGAGCCCCATCCAACCTGGCCTTGAATGTTCCCAGGGATGGGGCCTCCACCTCTCTGGGCAACCCGTTCCAGTGTTTCACCACCCTCATTGTAAAGAATTTCTTCCTTATATCTAGTCTGAACTTGTCTTTTTGTTTTCATGTTCTCCATGGTGGGGAGATGATGGGATCATCTCCTCAATTCCCTCAAAGGTTCTTCTATCATCTTGCCTCCCTATCCACCTTTACTTCAGCCCTACGGAACAGATTAATTTCCCAATTTATATATATCCTACGTATCAACTATATGCCTAATTAAATCAGTGACTTGCTGTAGGTAAGCTATTTCAATCTTGCACCTCACTGAGTCATCTTAAAAACACAATCTCTGCTGCTACTTTTTAGACACATGAAAAGAATATCAATTTAATCTGTGCTACGGCGTAGAAGTAAGTTTTTAAGATACAAAATTTCTTCATCTCTAAGACTGAAGTAATCATTCCCCCGTTGCACATTAAAATAGATCAGATTTTCAGTAGTTATGGTCACTAGGCTTGTCCTACTCATTTTGCATTGCTGCAGTCTGCTTCGCTTTTAAGTGCTGACCTACAAATTTTACAAATCCACATCCTAGTATGACTAATCCACTGCACGATAAGGGCAGACCTGGGTACAAAGTCCCACTTCTAAAACAAATCTAGATTCCCTGGCAACCCCGTAACGTAAAGTAAACCTATGTTATGCTAAAAGTTGTTTCTAAATCATACAACCATTGCCAGATCTGTCCTCACGTTCAAGTAATACAGCTTTTTGGCAAACTGCACTTTTTGGTTAAGGTTTATTACCAATTCTTCAAATAGTTGTGAAAATAACTTCCGATGGCAGTGGGACATGAAAGCTTTCAGCTCTAGGCAAACCACCATCAAAACAACTTGCTTTAAATGGAAGGTTATTGAAACACATTTTTCTACAGTAGATTCATTAACACTACATTTAATGGTTTTTAACATGTTTCGGTTACACTGTGCTGATTACAAAGAAGTTACACTACAAATTAGTGGCTCGTTAAAAAAGTACGGGGAAGTTATTGCTTGATACCATAAGCAATAGTGAGAGTCACAACAGCTTGCATGGCACTTTTCAGCTCTAAATCTGGAGCACTTTACAAATACATGTTCACACCCACTTTGCAGATACAGGAACAAGAAAAGATGAAATGACTTTTCCAAGTTACCACAACGACCTTTCAACCAGGCAACAGAAACAGGCCAAAATCTTCAGAGGTCAGGCCTGACAGGTCAAAGGGATCATCATCTTGCAGGCAGCGACCCTCTCAGTATTACTTTGCAATGAATCTCAATCCTGACTTTGCTACTTAGAACCTGCAAAAACCTACATGATATACTCTAGAAGACAGTGAAAAACATAGGACCACCCCCCAAAAATATTAAGGTACATAAAGAGAACGCAGACCTTGACTCCCACAGCTCTTCAACCCCCTTATTTTCAGCATTCATGCTCTGCACAGTCTAAAAAATTCCCACGAATTTCCTTCTCTCTTTTAAATAATTTGTCACTAACTGACCAGAAGAAGGTCAAACACAAGCTGAAGTGAAAAGCTGTGACTTAGAATGAAGCTAACCACTAGAAACAATGCACTTATTCAGGGAGCTCCCATATGCATCAGTAAATGGTTATTAAATTCACCAATCCTGAGCAAAAGCAAGAAATCCCAAACTAAGATACCCGTGACCTCCCCACAGAGGTATCTTCTGTCAGCTGGCAGCGATCTTTAGGGCTATGTATTTGCTGAATATAATATATATACACACACAAAACCATCCACACAGTTGGTGCGCCCCAAGTTTTATATTACCATCCTTATTTTGCAAAGGCCAAGCTCACAAATACCTTAAGTCAAACCTAACATTTCAGTATTAAAAACCAGAGTATCACCTAGATGACTTGCACCCATTAGACTTAAGAGAGACAGAATGTTTAGTAGCAGTGCTCCCCCTCCATGAATTAGTGACCATGAACGAGGAAGGACACAGGCAATTAAATTACAAGGCAAACAGTATAAAAAACTCCTTTCAATTTTGGAGGGTGGGTGCTTGTAGATCTTTGATCTAAAAAGAGATATTAAAAGAATTAAAGATTACTTTTTTTTTCAGAGGATACGCAATATAGTCTATTAAAATGGGTCTTATGTAGGAATGCCCGATGTGATATTAAACAGAGAATATAAAGATCTCAACAGAATTAGTTAAGTTTTTTCTTGCGTATTTCCATAATTAAGTCAGACTGTAAAAGCTATCTACCAATAACACTTTGAAGGGAATGAAAGTTAAAAACCTAGTACTAAGAAGTTTAGCACGCATCAAAAGCAGGCAGAAGCACATAAGTTTATCAACTTTGATTTTTTTAACCCTTGAACACAAGGCGAGATGAGCCTGGCTGCTAACAGTTACCCATAAAAGCAATGGGCACTGCTGGCCTTTTCAGAAGTGCACTAAGGATCTGAACAACCTGATCTTTGTACCCAAACCATGTCTTTCGAGATGCTTTCTTCGGCTCTACTGCATTTCATGAGTCACGCACGAGGACAATATTGCTCATTAACTCATTGTGATAAGAGTTTTAAAACGCTATACCAGGAGGGAGCATTCCAACAAGAGCATTCTGTGCTCATCCATTTTTCAATTCTGCTGCTAGATAAACTTCATAAATTTATATGTCCTCATAGACTTTTATATTCAGTCTATACACAGTTTGTACACAATTTTCTTCCTGTTCCGCTCCTCCCCTTCGCTTTAGAAGCCACGCTACTGTCAACACTGAAGCAGATTTTCATAAACCTTAGTTGATAGGGAACAGAATGCTTCATGCCTACTAAAAACCCAATGGCTATCTATGAGGCGTAAATTATTGTATTCATTCCCATGTCACGCTGCAGCAACTGCTTTGCCTGACTAGTTCCAGTTGTCCCCTGTTGTATCTCGCAAAGATCAAAAGCAAAAAAATGCAGAGAATACAGTGCAGGCCCCCATAGACACTTCACAACACTTTTGCAGCATGTCACAGGGCCAGGTAGTGTGAACTGATGACATCACCTGCCAGTATTTTCCTAAATTCTCACTGTAACCAACTTTTCTTCACAAGGATGATGGGGTCTTTTATTCTACTGCCCGAGCTTCTTAAGGCTTGTGCATGTTTATTAACTTTTTGCTGAGAAGAGCCTGCTCAATGTGAAATCACCAGGCTGGCAATATCTCCCCGGTCATTCCACAAAGCTGAAAAAAGGCTGTTTACTTTCACAACATTCCATCTTGAAATACCAAGCCTGGTATTTTAAAAAAATACATTCAAAATTAGTATTGACTCACTGCTATGCCACAGAAAACATTAATTAAAACCATTAATTACAACCATTCTATGAGAACTATTTCAAATTGTCCTTAAAATTGGAGTTTTGTTGTGGAAAAGCCTGAAGACCTAACAAATCGTTGCCACAATAAGATAAACGGCATAACAGTAAAACAGTTTTTAAAACTTAAATTTAAGTTTTTTTAAAAAAAAACCACCCCACCCAAAAAGCTTTTAAGTACAAATGTTAGAATTTCTCCTCCCCCCCCGAATAAAAAGGTGTATTAACGCTGATGCCTACAGCATAAATCAGAGAAAGTCACTGGAATTTGCATTTATGCAGTGAAAAGCTATTAGGAAATATTAGAGTGATTGAGAAAATATTTTAATATAGTAATAACTGAAAGTGAAGAACTGTTACACTTTAAATTACCCTTTAGAGAATCATCAAATAGTCTGCGAAATACAGTGCTCCCAAGAAAACAATTTAAAACTCAAAAGGGACTGGACACTTATTTGTGAATCAAAACAAATAGGCATACATAAGTAACAAACTCACTAGCTACACATTTGCTCATTCCCAGAGCAATTTTTTCCAAGTTAAATGGGATATAAACTTATCTAAGCTAAAAGGAAAAACTGATTTCACAGTAATGTACGGTACCTGCAACGTCTTCTGGATCCGTTACAACAATGTGTGCATTTAACTCCTGTAACTTATGATGCAAGTCTTCTAACTTCTTATTCGATTTTTTCAAAATGTTGTCCACATATGCCAAGTTCTTTTTATCCGTTGTGACCTTCCTGAGGTTCTCCGCTCCCTCCTTGATTTTAAGTTCCTTCCTTATTTCCCGCTTGATTTGGTCCTTTATTTCATCCAGCTTCTGCTGTACCATTGTATCTGAAA